TCGGGCATATCGAATAAAAACAGGACATCGTTTGAATGCTCGTCTATTGGACCTAAGACTGAAGAGATGCCGCGCTTTGTTGAAGCGGTACGCGGGAAAAAAATATCGGGAATTTCTTTTTTCGGATGAAAAAATTTTTACCGTAGAAGAGAGCTACAATAAACAAAATGATAAGGTGTACGCACACAGTTGTGAAGAAGCGAGCAACCGTATTCCGCGTGTCCAACGAGGTCATTTTCCATCCTCGCTCATGGTATGGTTGGGAGTTTCTTATTGGGGCTTAACATAGGTACATTTTGTGAGAAAGGTGTAAAAACGAATGCTGTTGTGTATCAAAATACAGTCCTGACCAACCTTTGGAACCTGTTTCTCATACCATGTTCAATAACAGGCACTGGGTATTCCAACAAGATTCGGCGCCAGCTCATAGAGCGAAGAGCACACAAAACTCGCTGGCGGCGCGTGAAATCGACTTCATCCGGCACGAAGACTGGCCCTCCTCCAATCCAGATTTGAGTCCGTTAGATTACAAGATATGGCAACACTTGGAGGAAAAGCGTGCTCAAAGCCTCATCCCAATTTGGAGTCACTCAAGACATCCTTGATTAAGGCAGCCGCCGATATTGACATGGGCCTCGTTCGTGCTGCGATGTCTATCGCCTGGCCGCGCAGATTGAAGGCCTGTATTCAAAATCACGGAGGTCATTTTGAATAAACTTTATTGTCATAAGAATCTATATTTTGTTAAGTTCATTTTGGCATATAAATGGTTACATAATGAATAAACTTGTTTCAATTATTTTATATTAAACACGTGACAGAATTTATGACCTGACTAAGGGATGTTTATTTGAAATTTTTAAAAAGACAGCAACAACAGTTTGATTCTCAGGATATGGCGTGCTGCTTTTGACGCATCGCAAATTTTGCAATATCAAATGACTTTACACAAATAATTTCATCTTCGCATAAAGTAAGTAAAATTCTAAAACATTGAATTATTGCAGATCAATCGGTCTTTATTTTGTTGAAAAAAGGGTAACTAAGTCTTGTGACTCACTTGATGATAAGAGATTACCATACAAAGCCACAGACTAACCCAATCCCCTACATCTCGTAGAACCCTGATAACCATGTTCACCGACAGGAACTCTAAACTACAAAATATATAGTGCTATTCTACTATGGTGAAGTATCTTCCATACTTCATCAGACGAGTGATTCAATTCTAACGATAAATCCGCTATAGTCTCGGAAACGAGCAAATTCAGTGCCAAAAGTAGGAGTGTACTAAATTCTTTGATTAAATTTAAATAAATAGGTACTGACTGTTTAAAAAAATACTTAGTTACTAACTGCTGATAGTGAGACAGCAAAAGAGAATAACCGATACGCAACAGACGATAATAAATTAGGCTTAATTTTTAAGCTACAGTCTAAGCAAAACGAATTAATAAGTATTGTAGATAAATGGAATTGTCTAATCACGCAAACTGACAAATTTGAAAAGGTTATTACTTGATACGACAGGTACTCCTTGAATTTTAATTTACCTGATGAACTTAAAAATCTTATAAATTAAAATAGTTGACAGTTATAAACAATAAACGTACTACTCGCCCATATATTGATTTTTATCGTTTACAAAATATCCTTTAACCGGCGCAAATCTATAATTAGCATACCAATGTATATGCACTTATTAGCCGTAAAAGTACGTAGATCCTAAAAATAGTTTTATTTGAATCAATTTATAATAAATAAAATTGTTAAAGTTTTATAATTGCACAGTTAATGAGTGAACGTGTATAACAGAACAGTGCCCTGTTCGAATAAATTGATTAAATTTTTGAAGTTATACTTCTTTAGGCGCGTTATGAAAAAACGATGAGAGTGAAATTTTAAGATGCGCGCGCATCACTGTAACACAAAATTTGTGTTTACCGCACATTAAGAAAATCTACCAACAAAATAGAAATAGAATCTCTATTTAGTGGGTGCTAACGACTGCATTGTGAATGCCTATCAAAAAGTATTTATTAATCTGGAACAACGGAACCAAAGCGCGATTCAGGAGACTACAGCGCCATCTCTTGACCATTGGTGTAGTAGAACCAAAAACCACATCTTTATTTTTTGTAATAAAGTAACAGTTATAGGTATTCATATTTATAATATTTATCCACATGTTTCTAGTTTGTATTTTCGGAATACGTGTTTGAGTTTCATACAAGTGCAAATCACATATGTTCTAATAAATTATATTCAGTAGCGATTTTAATTGAATATTTTGATTATTTATTTATTTTTTCAAATTAAAACTGTACTTTATTGACTGTGTCCTTTTCCAGACTTTTTATTAATTTATTGTAATTAATTATTTGCATGCAATTAAAAACTAATTTTAAACGATGCCAAAGAAGGATAACTTCTCAGGCGCCTACATAAGTACACGCACCCATTTTTTTTTATGGGAAATACAACCTAAATCGATGATGATTTCGCTAGTAAATTTTATCAGCTTACTAAAAATCCACGATGGCACGATTGCTTTGCTCTATAAGTAATCATCACTCTTTACTTGTCGCTTTGCCAACTGTTCCAACATAATAGTTATTTATGCAACTGTTGTATAATGAGCGGTATTAAAAAACGAATGTGGGTTGATAATAGTATCACATGAGTGATTTAATACTTGATTATAACAATTGTATGTACACCCATGATATAAATCCTCTATTAAAGATTCTAAAACTATGGGGCGTGCTAAGAACTTAAAATTAATGAAAAGTTTCGGCGCTGGGTTACTGAAGCCTACATGAATGTCAGTTCTTTTTTTATCACGCATCCAGCATTGAACATTGTGGCTGTCTGATGAGCAAGCCCTTGGCGCGGAAGGGATTTAAAAAGCGAAAGAGTGTTAAGTATTATGAAATTTATTCAAATAATGTTTTTTTTTTATTTATGACATTGAAAGTTTTAATGTTGCCAATAAGCTTTATCAGAATCTTTGATATGGTTTTAAAGCATGGTATAGATAAAACAACTCATGGAACTAGTGGAACAGACTTTAATGTAATGTAGGTAAATATATGTGTATAGTATGTAAGTAGCAGTCCAATTTCAGCAAAATAAAAACAAGCAGTTTTCTTTGACTTAAGAAAGGCTTTGCTACTCTTCTAAAGCAAAGAGTACCTGATTCCAGATAAGAAATTTATTTAGCTATTTGTTCCAAAGATTGGTTTTTCCAAAAATTGCTAAATCTCTACAATCGTCATCGTCAGGTTATCTCTGTGATTTTTCTCTGTACTAACGAATTCTTTTTGTCAAACAATAAATTTAAAAGGAAACCGGAAGTTCAAATAAGCTATTCTATTTTAAACAATCTATTCTAAAATGTTCTTTATAAATAAATTGTGACCCGTATATTGTTAGGGAAAAGATTCGTTTATTTTCTTTGTTTCATTCGAAAGATAGAGCAGCTAGAGAAATTGCGCCCGACTGCTGTTAATTGAAACGCGCAACTTACCTACTTCGCGAGATTAGCGGTGAGAGGAAATGTCTAAGCAATAAAACACCATATTGTGTTGTTTGTACCCACTGGCACCCAAGCTCATCCCCGTGATCCGAGAATTAAGCCGGAGTCTAAATAAAAAGACTTCCCTCAAGGGCCATTCCTCATTTCGAATATCGTCGAGACTATAAAATTCTGCGAGTCTTTTCTCATTAAATAAACAAGTCGAGATAAAAATGAAATATTCAAAGCTCCGAAATTAAAATTAGCAGCGTTCATTATTGAATAAGCCAAGCGGGCTTTGCGAAGAGTTAAAATAAATGTTTCATTATTAAAATTTGTCTTTTCCTCGATACTAGAAAATCGGAAATAATGAAACTGGAAAGTCTTTAACTAGAAATACAGATTATAATCTAAACAATAGAAATGAAACAGTAACATCAGATATTGAAGTTGCTGAAATTCCAGTTTCAACTACCAAACCTTTGAGCTCCAACCCCATTGAAACCGAGTCTATTTGAAAAGACAGTGTGAAAAATTGTAAGAACTCGTTGGAATTTCAATAATTATATATTTATACATATTTTCTAAAAATAAATAGCTGTAATCTTAGCTGATATATTTAACCAGTGTGGTGTTTTTCCTGGAGCGGGCTGTACAATCAATTTACATTGACTAAAGACACAAATACAATCTTAAGAGATTTTTTTTAAGAAACCGATACCAATATCCATTGTCATTATAATTACAGTAGCGTCTCAGTTCATTTATCAGAATTTTATGTACCTACATATTATTATGTTCGAAAAACTATTAAATTAAGTATATCCTATATATAGCGATTAGCACTCGCTTAGTACTGGAAATACAAAAAAAAGTAAGCTGTACCCATTATTAGGCTACTCAAACTCAATAATTCATATAAAGGTATTTTTGTACGCTTCGACAATTTCTTCGAAATTCCCTAGCAATATCCAACAAAAGAGCATCAATCAATTTAAAGCTACTATTAAAAAGTTCTTAATAATAAAGCCTATTAAGAGGTATCTGATTATATTTCAGGCAAGTTTCATACAAAAAATGCTATATGCATTTTTTTTTGCTTGCATCGACGTAGATTTAGGTCGATTTTGACATCGGGCGCTCTGGGGTAGCTGCCAGCCCTGAGTGTTAAATTTACTACTAGCGGAAAATGTGACCCGGTTGGCCAACGGCGCTTCAGGATTACCGGGTCCTGCAGTGGGAAATCTGTTACCGAGGCGCAAGTGGGAGTAATAGGCGACGTCCTCCGCTTTAGTGGTGGGGGACGAAACGCCGGGAGAGATGGGGGGCAAGGCACCTACGCCCCCCAAGGAAGTTGAGTTGCGATGTCGGGAAACTAGGAAGGAGGTGAGTGAGGAGCGCAGACTCCGCTCTCTCCCACCTCCTTCAATTCGAGGATATAATCGGAAAGACGAGAAAGGTTACGACGTCAAAGACAGGTGAGATGTCGAAGTCAGGGGGAAGTCTGTGGAACCTTGAGGACCTGAGAATAGATGAAGAGTTAATAAAAAGGGCTGGAATAGGGAGGGGAAATAAAACGGGAGTCGTGCACAACAGTAGCGTAAACATGGATGTGGATAGCAGGCCAGATCGCGCGCTAGTGGACTCGAAAGCAAAAAAAAGGAAGAGGACCGAGGTTCCAGACCGCTCTTCTGAGCAGTCCACAGACGAACGGCCGCTTGCCAAATGTGGCTCCGATAAGAGAGGAGGCCGGCAGTAAGGGTTCGGGCAGGGAATTGACCCAAGAAGTACGGGCTATGGAGGAGGATGCCAGCGGAAACTTTACTCCCCCTGTCAGCTCAAGGATACTTAGGTCCAATAAGAACAGAACGCTGGAGAGGAAGGAGGAAGCGGAGAAGCAGGATGAGAAATTGGCTGGAACCGTACCGCAGAGACGGAGCTTTTTCGAGACCGAGCAAGAGAAAGATCGGAGACCGGCGCAGAGTGTTGTTTAAGTTTTGTAACTATAGTAGGTAATATACTAACGAATAAATGTTAATGTAAAACAATAAAAGATAAAATAAACACAAACTTAAATATTAAATTACTTTATAATATCTCTATTTTATAATATCTAATTTATCGTGAATTGCGGTATGGTTTTATCTCGGTGTTTATACAAGTATTTTTTAAACCTTGTTAATGGGCTTTTATACTAAAGTTATAAGGATATACTTCAGCCTTTCAATTGAACATCCCACCACAACCAGATTTTATGCAGTGTATACCGCAAAACAGACCTGGGTATGGACGCAAAAGGCTCCGAGGGTGAACCCTCTGCTACGGTAGAAAAGAAGCTTAGGGCTGCGCAGGCAGAAATAGCTCGTCTAGCCGGTGATAACCAAAGGCTTAATGGGGAGATCGAGAAGCTGAAAGGATAGCAAACGCCGACAAGAAGGTCATCGAGGAAACAAGGAAGAAACTCGATGAATGGCTGAGTCTTGAGCTTGCCTCCGCGATTGAGTCGGAGGCGGACAACCCGTCATCCCCTCTGACCCAAATGATCCAACGGGCGGCTGTCACATATATTGATAAAATCAATCGGATCAGGGAGGAAGGGAAAGAGATACCGACCCCTAAGCGCCCTCCGCCAAAGGCTGAGGCTAAGAAGAAGGAAAGGGAGCCCAGACCTACTCTCAGCCAGGTGGTGGCTGGTACGGAAAAGGAGAAGGAAACTAATAAGAAGGGGCAAGAAGACACCACTCGAGGGCCGTCTGAGCAACCCAGGAGGGCGCAAAACGAAGGGTGGACCGAAGTAGGTCGAGACGGGAAAGTAGTTTCTAAAAGAACAGCAACGTTGACCCGGCAAAAATCAAATAGGAGGGCCCGATAACAGGCTGTGCAAAAAGGCTGGGTTGATTCAGCCGGCCGGTGAGTGTCGAGGCCCAGCGTGGCCCAAACTGGCGGTCCCTCGCTCCTCGGCCATCGTCATATCAATCCCGACGGAGAAGAGGGAGTAAGGTACAGAGAAGTAATCCTGCAGGCGAGGAAAGCGATTGAACTGAAGGAGCTCGACATCGGTAATGTTGATATCCGAAACTCAGTTGGCGGCAACAGGATCATCGAAGTCGTTGGGGCCACTAACGCTGAAAAGTCGGACAAGCTGGCGGTCAAATTACGGGAGGTGTTGGAGAACAGGGCGACAGTCACACGCCCCATAAAACGCGCAGACTTAAGAGTGAGTGGGCTGGACGACTAAGTAGACCAGGGCTTCCTCAGGGAGGTAGTGGCGAAAACGGGCGGCTGCCCGGCTGACTAGGTGAAAGTGAAAGAAAGCATCCTTGTGGACAGACAGATGGTTCGGCTGAAGCCGCAATGCGGTACTTGGGGCTGGAGCTGGATGGGAAATGGAGGTTCACCCATCACTTCAAGCTCCTTGCCCCGAGATTGGTAAGTGCGGCGGCGGCGCTGGGACAACTGATGCCTAACATCGGGGGCCCCGATGCCAGCTGCCGCAGATTATTTGCTGGGGTGTAGAGATGCATGGCGTTGTACGGTACGCCGGTGTTGGCGGATGCCCTCAGTGTGGTCAAAAGAGCGGTGCTCATGAGACCGCAGAAGGTGGTGGCTATAAGAGCTGCGCGGGCGTACCGGACGTCTAGCGAGGCAGCCTGTGCCCTCGCCGGGATGCCCCCCTGGGATCTGGATCACAAGTGCTGGCAGAAGTGTACCTGGGGGAGGATCTCGGCGCGGGAGAGGGGGGAACGCGCGACGGTTGAAGAGGTGAAGCGGGTGTATGGGATGGTGAGAGAGGCGTTTGTGAAAAGCTGGTTGGGACGCCTCGGGAATCCCACGACGGGATTCAGGACGGTGGAGGCGCTCCGACCTGTTCTTAGAGATTGGCTAGATAGGAGATGGGGGACGCTAGCTTTCCGGGCATGGTTGCTTCAGAAAGTACCTGCACCGGATACGGAGGGAGGCGGACCCTTTGTGCCATGAGTGCGGCAATGCCGAGGATTCAGCTCAGCACACCCTAGAGGCGTGCCTGGCATGGACCCGGCAGCGCGGCGCTCTGGTCGCAATCGTGGGAATGGACCTCTCGCTAACCGGCGTGGTGAAAGCCATGCTGGAGAGCGACAGGTCCTGGCAGGCAATAGTGTCCTTCTGTGAGGACACCATCACACGAAAGGTGGCTGCGGAGAGAGTACGCGAGGAACAGGCCCTCGCGGGCTCTCTCCGCAGTCGTAGGAGGGGAAGGAGGAGACGGCGGGCGCATCTCTTGCCACCCTAACACAAAGAATGGCCCTAGTCAGAGCAGTGGGAAAGGTCCTTTTTAGGACCAGAGGAGCGTGAGCCCTTTCAGGGCTCAGATTGGGGAAACGGTCCGCTTTCTAGGACCAGGGGAGTTAGGAGCATCACCCCACAGTGATCTTTATCACTGCCATTGGAGGTAGATGCTCAAAAGGCCCTTCTGAGGGAGGGATTTTAGTATAATTATAAAAGTAATTTTTAATTACTGAATACAAAGTGTTTTTTTTTGGATAAGTATTGATAATACCCATGTACGAATAACGTAGCCTAATTTGTACCGGCGTTACTATTTCATATTTTGAACATAAAAGTGTAGTTATTGTGACATAACTAACTACCTATATTAGTTAGACATATGGTATTGTTGACTTTTTTGTAGATATTGATGTCCTTTATAAAACTGTAGTACAACACTTTGCTCTATTGTCAATAATTTCCGCAGCGTACGTGATATGAGGTTTTGTTATTTTTTTCATAATATGAGCTACATTATCGAAGTTTTCGTACGGATCCCTAACTGTTTGAAATATTGTAGTTTTTTTTTCATCAGGGATAACGTAGGGTTATAATGGGTTATAAGAACTTTTACAAATCGGTCCAGTAGTTTCGGAGCCTATTCAGAACAAACAAATCTTTCCTCTTTATAATATTATTATAGATTAACTGCAATTCCAAAATTTATCATACCTGCTAGGGATCGCCTTTATTTTATTTGAGAATCTCCCTTCAACCTTACATTTTTGGGGTAAAAAGTATCCTATGTCTCAATCCAGTTGATAAACTTTATGTGTGTCAAATTACCATCCCAAACTGTTCAGCCGTTTTTGGGTAATTGAGTAACAAAAATACAAACTTTCACATTTATAATATTAGAAAAGATAATAATTAGAAAATTAAAATATAAAAGGAGTATTCTGGATTTGCTTGGAGCTCACTGCGCCCAACAACTAAGAGAGATCTAAAGAAAATATTACTAGAAAAAATTCCACGCTAACCAGGCATCAGACGGGACTCGAACCCGTACCCTTCGCTATCCGGGCGAATGCACTGACCAATTATGCTACCGCGGCCTTGACGGCCGTGTCGAATTCTTTCTAGACTTTCTTAAGCTGCTAGGCAGCGCCATCTCTTCGCATTGTAGGTAACCCACAACGGGTTCAAGTCCCGTCTGCTGCCTGGTTCGCGTGGATTTTTTTCTAGTAATATTTTCTTTAGATATAAACAACGAGCAGTTACATGCTTAAAAAAATAAAAATTATAACTAAGAGAGATTTTCCCATTTTATTTATTGGTAGGAAAGGAAGATTCCGTCATTGATATTCAAGGAGGAATGCTTCCAGATGACCATACAATTAGACGATTAAAGTTGTTGTTGTGACTTCATCCACTTTTTTAGTCAAATAAGTTTAAACTGTTGATTTGTAGGTAGCAGGAACTTTGCATAATTACTAGGAAAATACCCATATTTATTTTTTACAATACTCCAAAAAAATAGGAATGTCCAAATATTTTTCTTTGTAAGAACAAAAGATGTATCTACACATCCGTTGGTTAACTACAAAGCATAGAAATTATTCAGTCGTACCATATTTAAGAAGCAGCGCACACCGGTAGAGATGTGGTGAAGATACTGAGAAAGAAACAATTAAATTTTATAATAAACCTTAATTTTAATATCATTTTTAAAATATATTGTTTTAAACTTTCATGGTCACTAACATTATTCTACGTGGCCGAGTGGTTTGTACGCCGGGTTTCTAGGTGTCGCTGACTCGAGAGGTCCAGAGTTCGAATCCCATTGAGGGCAGATATTTGTGTGATAAATACGAGCATTTGTACTCCAGTCATGTACGGTTGTGTAATATGTATTTCTATATAAATATGTATCAGTATTATATCCGTTACCCTACCATCCCATAACACAAGACTACAGTGCTTTTTTGGGGTTAGGCTAATCGGTGTGAGTGTTGGAAATGTTAATTAAATTTTTATTTATTTGTAATAAAACAACAAGGCATACATAATAAAATTCGGAACGAAGTATAAACTATTTTATGTTAAAATATTAAAATGAGACAAAACAATTTAAATAGTCGACATAAACGAAAACATGAATAGGATGCAAAATGAAAAAGAAAAACATCTGCGCCCTAATAAAACTGACAGTCATTTCAAAAGTTGGAACTACGTTCACGGGCTTACCCTCTCCCCGACCCCCAGAGCGCGTTCGCATCAAGAAAAGGATTTCCCAATAGTATGTTAGGAGGCTATGTCGGAAATCCCTGATGTGTGCTTCCAGCTAATACTCGACGTTACCGACATATTTTCTGACACTCGTTTATACCATTCACACTCGAGTGAACACGAAGAATCCCTATTTATGTGAATGTAGTACATATTCGATGCCGTCAGGCACTTATTGTTGAGTAACTTGTAGTATTTTAAATAAATCAATGCTACAGTGGCAGGCTAAAAATTTTTGAAAGGGAAAAGGTATACCGTCTTTCCGCTCAAATTGGTGCGCATGTCTTGATAAGTAACCATACTGAAGACCACAGTGAAAACTTAAGTGCTGCTGCTTATGCTTTCGGAAGCACGGAGGAGCTTGAGTTGATATATAATTGGTCAGCCAATCTGTGACGAGGTGCTTTTAAAATACATTATGTTAATACCTATATATGTAAAAAAAATGGTAGGAAAGTCAAAACTGTACATTGAATATTTTATGATACCGAAGCCAAAAATATAATTTTTAGAATTTTTGCCTGTTTTTCTGTATGTATGTCCGGGATAAACTCAAAAATTATTAAGAAGTCGGGTCAACATATGGACTACATATTATCACGCTATCGGGGAACGAGCAGTGAACAGGGGTCAAAAAGTATGTGCAAACAACTAACTCCACGCGTACGAAGTCACGGGCGGCCGCTAGTTCTAATATACAACTAATAAACATATTGGAATTGAAATATTTGAGCTTTAAAAGCAGAACAAAAGTACCTGAGCTCTAACCAGCTTTGTGTAGAGTAGACCAATTGTTGTGTTTGTTAATTGTGTTCGGTAGCTCCGTGGCTTAGCATTTCCAACAACGTGCCAAACTTGCCCCCGTAACGAGCTCTATTGTTTTACTCCCACTAATATCATCTTTGCAAACAGCCGTTTAAACTAACGTGGAACATTCACTTTCGTTCCATTTAAACAACAGTTTTGTTATAACGATCCGAGTTATAAGCAAGCATGGCAAATTGGCTTCACTTTGATAGCTACTATGACTTCAGTTTAATGTAGAAAAATTTTACTAATGCAATGTGCTTAATTTAAAAATTAGTAAAATACATATAGTATACCTATAAAGGTATACTATATGTATTGTTAATTGTCCCATCGTGTGTGTACTACTAACATTAGCAACTGTTACTAATATATTGTAGGTTCAGTCATACTTGAGATTGTTTAACGAAGTATGCTTAATTGTATTCAAGCATAATACGACGAGAGAACCAAAACTATTTAGCTTTATTAAGACAATAAGTCGTACCTAACAAAGCGCCTTGAAAGTGCAAAAACAATTATCGGGTAGTGCCTGTATGTACTCCGCACGTACAGATAACTTCGCCCGAGCAACTCCGCCGTCTCACATGCACCAACGTTAACTTTACCTGCGATCTGTTAGTAATTTGTTACCGGGATAAGACTAGGACGATAAATTGGCCTCAGTTCTGGTAAACTTTGACAGCGCAAACGGCCTGAACGCCACTTACTACGAAATTATTTTTTTTGATAATGATTTTTTTATGTAATACTTATTTACGGTACGATGTTTACAATTTTCCATTTTCCAATGCACAGTTTCCAAACTACCTCCCTTTGGTTAAGAGCCCTTTCACATTTTTTGCAAAATATCGTAATTTTTGAGCGCCTCGTTTACACCCTTAGAAAAGACTTTGACTATTTCCAATAGAAGTAAACAGTAGAGTTATTTTTCTTATTGTAAGTTAATGTAGAATATTTGCAAATACTATATTCTTTTTTTTGTACTGATCGTTATACTGCAGCTAGATTACGAAAAATACGATAATATGCACAACTTCAAACGCCTGAATCTCTAAATAATGTTCAAAATATTAGATCAAATTAATTACTACGACATCAGAAATATGTTTTTGTTGTAACATAATGTATTGGAATTTTGATTTTCCATCTCATTAATTATCAAAAAAAACATCCAACCTCCGTGAATTTTCCCAAAAAATAATGCCGGTTTACCTCGAATTTTGATATTGAATTAAATAGAATTACTATCCAAAACTTTCATTAAACTAATCTACCTTCATTGAAATACTGAAATATGCATATATTTTTATAATTAGTTCATAAATAATTAATTAATAAGACTCGAAACATCAACCGTAAAATGCAATATATACTAGTGCAAATCTACCTACGCGCCGATCAGTACGGCAGCGGCGCAATTTTGTAAAAGGGCTCTTAAGTTCGGTGATTAAACTTAACAGGCAGAGCAGGTATTGAACTTAATTCCAGTACAATTCTCTTAACTTGAAACTAAATTTAACATCTGTCTTTCCTTTTTTATAGTGAGTGATAAGAATATAATGCTGTTAAATTTTGTTTTGGGCTCAGAACATTAATATGGTTAGCGAATCGTGAGACAATCAGGCACAGTATAAACAAAAACAAACTTATCAGTTCGGGTTTCTTTTTATGATTTGCTACAAGCAATACAACTAGGATCGATATCACATCTACACACTTTAAAAAACGTTATACCATCAAATGTCTTGTTGTGGTCCCACATTATTTCGATGTTGCCGTCTATGTATGCATTGTCAGTATCATTAATCAGTTCTGCCGAGTCACAGTAAACCTCGTCAGCCAAAAGCAGTGCATGTACTATAGTTTCCCTTCCTTTTAAACTTATTTTGCATCGCCATTGGGTGAATGCCATATACAAATAGATCTGGGTGATCTTCACAGTAATTATTTGCCTCTTACCACTTTCGAATACCAATACGTTCTCGGGCATGACGGCTCTGGGGCAAAACTCAGGGCCTGACATTAGAGCTTTCACTCTTTTGGGGTATATCACGTTATCGTTCCCGCATGCTTGTTTGGTGCACTTGCTCTTAGTAACACACCACGAACAGTAACTCTTCTCAAGACAAGAGGAACATGAAGCAAGCCTGCTGCATGTGTCACCGTGAACTTGGTTGTTGTCCGTGGCGGAACATGTTATCAGTAGAAATGCTGCAGCTATGGTAACAGCTGAATTTTTTCTGGATCCCATCACTTTTTATCTGTAAAATGTAAAATAAAATTAATGGAATCATGAATAGAAAATTTCATCTATATGAAAGCTTAGAATATTATACCAGTATCGCAAGAGTAAATATACGTTAGTTTGCGATCATTTTTAAATAAAGAGAAAATAAGTGAGATCTATTAGGAACAAACAATAAGGAGCACTCAGTGAACTAAATTAGTTTACATAAATATGAAGCAGAACGTAACGTTAATTAGGTTATTGTAATTTACAATTGATTTTATAGACTGTTTTAATAGTAATATTTATATATTAGTTTGATAAAATATATAAACGTTTTAATTTATCAAATTGATTTTCTTTTGATGTAGTCGTCTCATATCCCGATTATAACTTTTAGAAAAAAACAGATATTTTCATTCTAAATTTTACTAAATATTTAACCAAAACAATGAATAAAATAAAACTTACCGATTCAGCTATGCAGTAGATACTAAAGCATTGCGTATGAAGTGAACGCTAGTTATATTGACATGTAAACTAATATATATATTTAATTTATTATATTTAACATTGTGGAGGTCATTATGCTTCTATCAATACGCTTTGTTATGTATTGTTTGTCTTTTCCGGTCTTTATAGGGACGACGACAAATCAAGATATGAAAGTTATATACAACCTGTTTAGTAAAAAAAAAATATGTGTGTCAGCTCCGACGCACGACTGGCGTTTACTCCTTAAGTTCGATAGTCTAACCAGACGCAAAAAGTGTTTATTTAATTAAAAAAGATTGATACTGTATGAAAGGGTAAATTAACAAATTAATGAAAATAATATTCATATATAAATATATATTTAGTCATTTCATATACATTTATTATAACTAATCGACGAAATATTTTACATTAAACTTTTTACAATAGTCAATTTCAGATGTATGCACATCTCACAAATATATCATTAGGAATGTTGATAAATAATGTAATTATTATTATCAGACTATTATCATTTTTTTAAATATTAATTAAATCAACATTGTCTGCATTATTAATTACAGTGACAAGTGGTTTATGGTAACTAAAATAAGACACATGGGCGTTCGTAGATACGTGGTTTACGAATCTTGAAAATACCACATCAATGGTTGTACCATACCTCGTTGTCCCCATTGCTCTATCAGAAACAATATCTAAATTCAGTTCAGATTTAAAAAAAAATATTAATGTCAATGCGTCATCTTTGTTTGTCAAAGTTGCGCGACATAGGATGCGCACCAAAAACGTAACGAGGTCATTCATCGATAGATTTTACTCCTCACATTTTTCTCATACCGGGCCCCTTATATATGTAAATCGATTCTTAAGGAGTAAACTCTAATAATTAATCTGTTCTTTTAAAATTATTTGACTATTATGAGACTGAGACTGAGAGAGAGTAAATAAAACACTTTTTAAAATATTATAACCAGTTTTAGTGTGATTTTTTAATATTTTTACATATTAACCTTTTACTGGTTACAGGTTCCGTGTTCATGAGAATGCACATTTTCTCGTTTAAAATTTTTTTTATTTAATGTTTTTTGTGTGTGAAAATATATGAAATAAATACGTGAAGGAGTGTTTTTTTGATGTGTTACGTACATAAAGTAAAAGTTTAAGTGTATATTCACTCGACCACTCCAGAAGAAATTAAAACAAAGCGTTAAAAGCTATTACGTATAATATACATTATTGGTTAAAAGCCTGTTAGTGGAAAGGTACATAGAAAATTACTTAGTGCATATAATCTGTCAAAATTAAGTTCTTATTCTAAACTATTTAAATTTTATAACATATTACTAGAAACGGTAACGAGCCCATTCAAAAATTCTACATATTTATTTTTGTAAATTATCTCACTTCTTCTACGATTTATTGCTTGGCTTGTCTTGACTAGCTATAGCTTAAGACAAGTCAACAATTTTTGACTAGCATTTAATTGAAATCTCCGAGTCAGGCCGTAAATATTAATGTGACAATGCGAAACGCATAAAGACATAATTTTTATAACAATACGTTCCTTGTGACTTGTTTATATTAGACTAGTGGGTGTCCGCGACTTCATCTACGTTGAAATATTAATTTCCCATACAAACTTTTGCCCCCTTTCCACACCCTTGAAGGATGATTTCTAGGACTAAAACTATCCGATGTCTTTTTCCGCCACTCAAACTATCTGTATATCAAATTTTATCTAAATCGGTTCAGCGGTTTAAGCGTGACGAGGTAATAGACAAACACAGTTTCGCATTTGTAATACTAGCGGCCGCCCGGGACTCCGTCCGCGTTAACTTTGGTTTTTTGAGAACCCCCACAGGAAACTTACATTTTTCCGGGATAAAAAGTATCATATGTCCCAATCCAGGTCATAATATATTTCTTGTCATAGTTTTTGCGTGATTGAGTGGGATTAGTATAGATAACCAAGACTAATAAATGAAAAGAGTCAGTTATCATATAAATTGTAATTCCCCAGATCTGTAAAAGCGTTTGTTATGAATTAATTTTTATCACACTGTATGTTTAGTAAATAAGCGAATGTGGTCGATCGACGCATGTGAATCTGTTTATCACGTGTTATTTAATCACTGCAACTTGACCTCTCACAATCACAACACTATGTCTTTCACTATCGCCAATCGTTTAATTACCAGATATCGATATAATTGCACACTAGCTTAGCATTAGGCAGACTAGCGTAGCATTAGGCAGACACCGCACCCGTAGGATAAAAGTGCGAAGACACGGTACACACGACACGCTATACCAGGTACAGGTACGTACCTGGGCGTTCCTCCCCGCCCCCCACGACAACGGCTAACTAAAGCCGAGGTCCGAGTCTCAGAGACGCCCTCTAGTTGAGCCGATCCCCTCAGGTTCGAGTGGTCTAGAGGCTCCACACGGAGAGGAGACTCACCCCGTGGGGAGATGCCATTCGCTTGGAATACCTCTAGAGGCACTCGCCAATTCTCGGCTTGAGGTCCCATAAAGATCTCGACGTCCCCAAACCCGGTGACGCTGTAAAGGTCATCTGAGACCAACAGCATACGCACTCAAAAAAAAACAAGATTCAAATCATCATTATTATGCCACGTTTGTTAATAGAAGTCATTTGTTGTGTGTGGACGAAAACAAAGGAATGTGGTGACAGCGTTGTGCGACGGGAATGCGGTTATAGAGTTGTGTAGAGGAGGTTCGAATAAATAACTCGCTAACAATTAGTTTGATATTGTATCCTATCAGCCGCCCGCGACTACGTCCGCGTTAAATTTAGTTTTTTTACAAGTCCTCAGTCTCTCTTATCCCACCTTCTCCTTTCCTTCAGAGGACCACGCGCGCTGGCCTACGTTGTCATCGTCTAACTGTGGCCACAATTCCAACGCGTACAAAGAAATTTGGTGACTCATTTCTTTGTCGCACTATCCGTAAATGGAATGCTCTGCCCGCTCACGTGTTCCCTCCCTCTTACAACCTGGGATCCTTTAAAAGAGGCGTGAAGAAGCAACATGCAGGCCGGCAGGGTGAAGATGGCTGGTGTGGCAGGTAAAACTGCTCTATCAGCTATCGTCACGTCTGGACTTCACCTTCACTTAACATCAGGTGGGGTGGAGTCATTTGTCGGACCTATCTATAAAAAAAAAAAAAAAAAACCTAACACTTTTCCGGGCTAAAAACTTAGATTAAAACAAAAAGGGTAGATACGGTACGCTCATACCTGCATCAAACAAAAACTGACAATAAAATTACCGACCCGAACGAAACAGCACGCTAAGTTTCAACGGCAGCGCGAACGGGACGGCGAGATCCGCGTCACTGCACTACCGACCAATCCCGCGACCAGTACTTGACGTCACTACCGAATAAGATTCAAAACAAACAGCAATTTTTATGAAAAAATATATTTTATAGTACTTACGAATGAAAAGTGATGCTGTGGGTGTTATTTTTAGTTCTTGACCAATTTGAGCACTTTTTAAAAACACACTTAGGCATTTTTTTATCATATAAACACAAAATATTAGCAATATTTCTTTTTGGCGTTCACATGTACGTCGTGTGCATGTCAAGTTGTGACTAAAGCGATTAGGGTCGCGGACCACAATTCATGAGGATCACTTTTGTGAGGCTAGTGCCGTATCTACCCTTTTTGTTTTAATCTAAGGCTAAAAAGTATCCCATGTCTCTTTTCAGGTTATAAGCTGACTGTGTGTAAAATTTCATCTACATCCGTTTAGGCATTTTTGCGTGATTGAGTACATACAAACTTTCACATGTAATATTAGTAGGATTGTACCCAAGTGTTAATCTGATACTTTTGTTCCCGAAAACTTTACATCGTCTCGTATAATAGATCATGATGTGCCCGACACGCATTTTTTTTATTTCATGTAGACGCCATTAAATTCAACGTACTCATATTTTTGTCAGTTTTAACTTGTTTTGCTTTTCTTGAAAAGTCTTGGTAATGTTATTATTTTAGAACTTTGAAATTGGTGTCGATATTAACATGATTACTTAAAACTAAATTTAAGATATCTCTACTTTTCATTTTGTATAGGGAAGGACAAGGATACACTGTAAGCATTATGTAAATTTATCGTTGTACCGAATGCACTATTAACTAGCACCATTACGTGTGCAGATGAAATTGATTAGTTTATTTTATAAAGTATATATACAAAATAAATAAATTATTGTAATACCTACTTTAAGTTAACTTTAAGAATACCTATTCTATATTAATTTGGTATCTTTAAAGTGATAACATTACATTTACTTTTAAACATTTGCAAAAATACACAGTAAATTTGAGCTTTATAAATACCATCATTAAGATAATGATTGAAAAAACTTCATTATAAGTCATAATATTTATTGCTTCATGTTGGTTACATTTAGTTCTTAAATCTAATAACAGCTCGCAAACATGAGCATTGCAAAATATAATAAAAGTATACAAGTATAATAGGCTAGTTGACTCATGTCGAATTGTATTAAATAAATGTTTATTTCTTAAAGTATTTGGTCTAAGGAACCTAAATATATCGATTTCACTTCATAAAAGCAGAAGATTGCTGTAGAAATTTATTTATTTTTTTTTTTTAAATTATATTTTTTAAACACTAAAAACGCTGTTTGCCACATCCGCCATGATTTTGAAGTCTCTTGTGGTAAACAACTAAATGTCATTCGCGTGTTACTGTGGATGGATTCTTTCGTCTGACTAAATTTATGTTAAAACACTTTTAACTTTAGGAAAGAAAAAAACAGTAAACTTAGTTTTTTTTGACAAAACTAATTATGGATGCCGGCTTTGTGAAAGTAGAAAGCACAAATCTGCCAAGAATTGACGCATTGAAGATTGGTGAATATTTTGCACTAAACCCCGATTTCTGCTCTGCGGAGCAGAGAAATGACAAGGTATCTATGTAAGTACAGTGCATTTAGTATTACAATGTAGTAATAAACATAAAACTGATACAACATATGAATAAGTGTAATAAAGTTGCGTAGGTTAATTTTTTTCGGCACTTTAATTCACAACTTTCCTGGAGTCTTCAGGGATGTGTTTTTATATTCTCGTACAATACAGTAATGATAATTACTTTATTTTTCGTGGTATTTATTAGAAATCATGTTTTTTTTATTATAAACGGAGTTATAAGTTATTATCTACGTGTTTACGAGTTTTTGTTTACCACAGTTGACGTCATAGCATAGATAATCTATAGACTAAAATGACCGACAGCGTTTTTGTATGTCCATGAAAAGTCTATTTTTAAATTAAAAATTTGTAACTTTCCAGGTTTAAAAAAAATACATTTTTTTTCGGTCTAATAGAACATTTATTAATCATTTAAAACCTTTTTCCAAAAAGGGTCAACTAGCCTATTGTTTACTTTAAATTTTACATAATAAATATAATATTATTCTTTAAACCTTAGTTTGATTAGAATCAATAGTAGAATTGTACCTTTGAGGGAAGCAGGCTATATATTCTACGAGAGAAATAACACGCAGAGTTGCCATATCCCAATCCTGTGTAGTAACCACGTTGACGAGGTACCACGGCATGGGTGATTTAGCTGATCAACCCCGCAGCGGTCGCCCAACTGTTTTGACAGCTGCTCAGAAGCGCTACATCAGGTTGCTGGTAGCCCGCGACCCAACAATAAACGCCACTAAATTAAAATCAAAAATACGGGCCGCCTCCGGACTTGAAGTTAGCACTCAGACCATTCGGAATTGCTTACACAAGGCTGGATTACGAGCACGGAGGTCTCGGCGAGCACCTTTGAATTCATGGGAACGTCAGCGACGGAGATTACAGTGGGCTAGGCTCCGGCAAAACGAAGAAGGCGAAGAGGAAAACATTTGGAAAAAACTGCCTCTTCCTTGACGAATCGCGAATCAGTATTCATCCAGATAACCGACGTGTCCATGTTGGAGAAAACCTGGAGACTCTGAAAGGCAAAGAACGGCCACTGGAAAGTTCAGTAAGGCGGGAAATCAGTGTCCTTTTGGGGTGGTATTATGATTGGGGCTAGAACGCCTTTAATCCCTTACCAAGGCTTCATGACGGCAGACAGATACAAAAGAGTCACTATTGATGGAATCGTCAGACCTTCGCGACTAAACCATGGGCACCAAATTTGTACTGGTTGACGATAATGCGCCCGCACATCGAGCTCAACGAGTCAATGCTGCTCTCCGAGAATACGAAATCACAATGTTAGACTGGCCTGCCGGCTCTCCTGACTTAAACCCAATAGAGCACGCGTGGAATGCTGGAAAAATTGTACCTAATCGATTGTTTATTTTTTTTAAAGCTTGCTTTATATTTGTTTTTTTAAGCTATAGCTTATAGATTTTATCGCGGGCTTTGAGCGCGGTGACCGAATCAAGAAATTCCGTAACGAAAATAACCTGACAAGAGTGCATATGAACACAATTATCGCCTTACCAGTATCGATCGAAACGGCGCACTGTGTTAAATTTTTGCCACGAGACCAACGTTCGACGCATCACCACGGTCTTCGGTTCAAATCCCGCACTCGTATTTTTTATTATATTTTTTTCCTTTTTTTATATATATTTGTTTTAGACCCCAGCACCTTATTTTCACCATTCTTATTTTTATTTGTCTCCCTTTTATTTAGACTTTATAATTATAATTTAAGTTTTTGGACTAAAGATGGTAAACTGTGGAGCTTGTGGAAGTTTTTTGGCGCCGGGCAATGCTGTTGTTTGCTGTGCTTGCCCAATAAAATATGATAAGGCCTGCCTCGCCATCTATTAATATCAAAGAAAAAACTTGAATTAATATCAAAGATAAAGAAATACTGCATAAATAATTATAATTGCATAAGTTGATAAATAAAGCTATGCAATAGCTTTACCGCGGCAGTCCCTGAGTGCCACACGTTTTTTTTTTCAGATAAGATCATAATACCAGAATCTGATTCTGAATCAGATGTAGAAAAAGTCGAAGCATCAGAGAATTTGTTTACTAAATACGCTGACATTAAGCCTTTAAAAAAAAACTATTAATTAGTGATGATGACCATTCTACTTATGCAGAACGCTGTGGCTGTAGCTTGTGGAGTTACATGAGCAGAACGCTCAGACGTGGTCTGATTTCGAATACGACATCCAGTCTCAAATCCCTAAGTTACTCATATTTAAGACTGGATTATGTATATTGGTCGCTTTAAATATGATTTAAAAAATCTTAAATGGAATCTTTATCCTTCAGATATCGACTTTTCACTACACTGTGTACTACGCAATAAAAAGACAGACTACATACCCATTTTCTTTGTCGCAGTCGGATAATTAACCGTTAATAACCGCATTTTATCGGTAGCTAACCATAAATTTGGTTAAATAACGGTAGTTAACGGGTTTTTTACAACTATACCTGAGACTGATCAGAGCAGTCTTCAAACATGACGCATTTACTCGCCGCCTTATCCCATACGAGCGGTTTGTGGCAATCGCACCTCCAGTAGTCGCACATGAATCCCATGGGCCTAGATCTTGGCGAGCGACAGGTGCGCTGACTCATGACGACCTGGCAGCCCGGCGAATAGGTGTACGTGTCGGGCGGGCAGGGAGTGATGCCTGGTGGGTGCAAATTGAAACAAATGAACGTAGTCAACGTGTGACGCAACCCTTCCAAAAAACGTTAGAATTTTATTAAAATATTTCATTCATAATATCATCTACTTAAATAAAACAAAGTTGTGTTAGTTAGAACACTTATAACTGAAGAACGGCTGAACAGATTTTTA